TGCATAATATAATATATACATATTAGGTGTAGTAAAAAGAAATCCATTATTTTTGCATGAAATTGAATGGAAAAAATAATGGATTTCTTTTTACTATACCTAATATTATATCTTATATATATATATGTGAATGAATTGTATATGAATTTTATAAATATGTTTGTATGTGTTTTTATTCATAAAATCACTTTATATAAACATGGCAAAATGGACAATTAATATTTGTCATTATATATAGTAATATTAGTTTTTCCATTTATTCGAATTTATTTAAGTCACAGAATATCGTATATATTTAATTTCTTTCTGTTTCGAAGTTCGAAGTAGAGTTTCACGTATGTATATAAAAATCTAAGGATGGTAGAGCATTTGTAATCTCGTTACTTTTCTTATCGTTTTGTTATAATAACGATTTGATAATGAACGAATTTTTCTTAGTCTCTCTCTCTCTTCTCTGTAACACGATAATATTGGAAAGTTGATCATTACTTGAAACAGATTGGAGAAAGTTACTTGTATAGTGAAAAAATTAATTCAGCATTTGTATAACGCATTATTGTTTACTCGTTATCCAACACACAATATTCATAAATTATTTCGAACATATTTGTAAACATTTATAAAACTTATTTCGAATATTTTGTAAATATTTGTATGGTTTTAGATTGCACAGATCATAAATATTTCATAGAACAGAACTGTCTAAAATACATTATAGAAATATCCTGAAGATATCACATAATATATTTTTAAAAATATCTCTATAATGTATTTGAGACATATCTGCTGTGTGAGATTTATTATAAATATTATAAAATATTGATTATAAAATGTTGTAGTAAATGTTACGACAGTATACTTAATAAAAACATTAATAAAGTAAAAAATATATTTAGTTTTATTTTAATATTTCATTATAATATTAAAAAAAATGAAGTCATAAATATTCTGTGCTATCTAGATTTGTAATGTAATAAATTATTTTTTTGATTAATTAAACGCGTAATGATAACATGTTATTTTTCAAAAGCTTAACACAATCTTAGCGTTTAGTTGCATTTATTGTTACAATTATAAAGAATTGCA